ACATGAGAAGTCTTCGAATATCTATGACACAAGCAGGGATTTTCCTGAAGTCTCTGCGATGGCACCACTCATGAGCCGATTCTCAGAATCACATGAATCTAACCTGTTTTCAATAGACGACCACGAGACATCCCGCAAATATGGGTGATAGATGTTTTATAACCAGTACTTAGTTTGACAGTCAGATTTTGTCTCTTTGACGTAATATTCATTTTCTCGGAAGTCATCAGAAGAACGATTCGGTGTGGCTCCAATTGCCGACAAGATGCGCGAAGCCCGTCTTCGATGGTACGGTCATGTTCTTCGTGCAAAAGATGACAGTGTCCGTAAGATCAGCTTCAGCCTTGACGTGTCCGGAAAACGGCCTAAGGGACGCCCGAAACAGCGCTGGCTCGATACGTTGCACACAGACTTGAAGTCGGTTAACATACACCCCGACCAAGCATTTAATCGGGAAAAGTGGCGTCAGCATATCAGAAAAGCGGACCCCGCCAACAAACGGGACAAACGCTGAAGAATAAGAAGAAGAAGAAGAACTCTAATACAAACGGGAAAAAAAACGAAGAAAAAACTATAAAATAAAAGCTACGAAACGGTTCTCCTTGCTTAACTGGGACACGTGGCTATTCGTTGTGAGAATTAGGCGGCGATACTAAAAAAGGCAAAAAGCTAGCAAAAAATACTATGTATGCCAGTGAACGTCATGTTGGGTACACTTGCCTACCAAAAATGACATACTTTTCTACCAAAAGTGACATCATAGTGTTTGGTCATGTTCAGCTGTGAAAATTGCATTGTAGAGGGAGGAAAGCATTTGTATATTTCTTCTATTAGTAATCTATTGTTTGTTCATTTTTCCATTATATGTGGTTAATTTGAGACACGTGCATAATTTTCGCATCACCCTGGATAACTTTTTACTTTTTTTTATTTTTCTATCTTTCATGTATCATTCAGCGTAGGCACACATCAGTAACACATCGGCTACGCGTGCCTGAAGTAGAGTACGGCACAAAAGTTAACAGTGTGGTCAAAAGGTCAAAGCTCCCCATACGCCTTATATTTCGTCCACCGCCTAATCTCAACATCTACTCACCTATTCAAGACCATATGAAGAAAAATGTGGAAGAAGAAGTTGTGCATACTGTAACGACAATAAAATTTGCCAATTGAGGGGCACCGTTTATTTAATAGAATGTCAAGGATGCGGCCAAAAATATGTTGGAGAATCGAAACGGCCTCTTTACAAGCGCTGTATGAGCACCGAAGAGCGTTACAGCCTCTTATCCAAACAGCAGGTTCCCCAAGCAACGCACCAAAGAACACGCCTATCGGAGAACCCCCCTCCCCCCGCCCCGTTCCCCATTAGGATATTACAGCGCTCCATAGAAAATTTGGTGGAAAGGACATGACCAAACACTATGATGTCAATTGTGGTAGGCAAGTGGTGCCCAGCATGATGTTAATTGGAAGCATAGTATTTTTGCTAGTTTTTTGCCTTTTTTTGGTATCGCAGGCTAGAACCTCACTACGAATAGCCTCCTGTCCCAGTTAAACAAGAGCCGTTTCGTAGCTTTTATTTTATAGTTTTTTTTTTCGTTTTTTCCCGTTTCGTATTAGAGGTCAAGAACTTGTTATGAAACATCTATCACCCATATTTGCGGGATGTTTCGTGGTCTTCTATCGAAAACAAGTTAGATTCATGTGATTCTTGGGGATCGGCTCATGAGTGGTGCCATCGCAGAGCCTTCAGAAAATACCTCCCTCGAGTCACAGATATTCGAAGAATTCTCATGTCTCTAGATTTATGTATTATTTGGCACCTACACAATATTTTATTGACTCTTAAAATGAGGGCTTCCAAATACATAGTCTTCCCTTTTGGAACAAAATTCGCTAGTAACTAAACGTGTCCTTGTCAAAAAATAGAACTGTAGTAAAGAAAAGAAGAGAAGCGGCGACACTTTCAGGGAAGCATTGAAGACTGTCCCAAGGCTTAGTGATCATTGTTAGGCGGTACGACGTAGCTGAGCGTCACAATTGCACAGTGCAGCTAGATAATTTCATCGAGGTTCGTACTGTTAACATGAAGTAAGGTTACTTCAGACAGTTGTTGTGGGTTTAAAGATTCCTAACGTGACTTGCGAAAGTGGCAGGTTTACTTCCGGTCTTGTAATTCTAGTGGAGAAAGGTGCTTTTATAATGATGTTGTGAGCCAGAACTTCTTCTTCCTGACTTTCACAATGTACTCCGAAGATTACTTTGGAGTACACTGTGAAGGGAAAGAGTGGCGCCAATTCCGAAACCCAGCCTTCTAAACAAATTAGTTCGTATTTAGGCGGAAGTGGTGTAGTGGCAAGTTGGCACGCTTACCACGCAAACGGTCCGGGGATCGAAACCATGAGTCGTGAGTCGCCCGGGCCAACCAAGCCTTCCATCCCTCCGGGGTCGGTTAATTGGTACCAGACTTGTCTGGGAGGATAAAACACTGACTTGAACATCGGCTGGCCCCCGCAAGTCATTGTATAGGCCACATCGCATTCAAACGCCACTACGAATGTACAAATGGAAGTAGAATGCGTGCCGCATCCCAAAAGGGATTGATCAACGGCAAATGCTTTATCCTGTTGTCCTTATTGATCGTATTTTTTGATGGAGACTTTCTCGGACATTGCTGTCGGTGAGTGCCATGCACACAAATACCCTTCGAGCACGTGAATCCGATGGTCAACTGACTCAGGGTCTCGGTTTTGGTATGCCGCAGATGCTATATAATGCTTATTTCAAAGGTGGAAACCCTCGATTATTGCCAATTCTTGGCTGGGGTACCATTGAACACCACCACGTCACACTAAACCCTTCGTGAATTTATCGTAACCGCTACCTTTAAGCGCTGTTCTGGCGTGAGCTGGATGGCCGGATTTTCTCATTCTAGGACCAGGAAACGAGCCTTCAAGTTCAAATGCTTTGCCTTGTGGAACTCATGGTGGGATCTCATAGTGACGCACTAATGTGAGACATGTTTTCGTTCCTTCTACTCGTCATATAAGCTGCTTGATTTCAAATCTAATGGCTTTGCTTCGAAAAAGCATAAGGGTATGGTGCGGTCGGCTCTGCAGTCCCTCTGTTTGCGACGCCTTTTTTCTCGATTGAATTCGCCCTTCCGAGTTGTTCTAACTTATTCTGGGCCTAGGAGTCGTCTGGCGCCACCGTATTATGAAGGCTCCCGAACTGGTATTCTGATTTCGACAGGTAATCAAGTCTTACTCCTGCCGGCTCTGGAACCGCATCGATATCGCGTCGATTGATTCTATCGGCTAACGTTTGCTCTACGCTACAACCGCAAGTGCACTCCCTAGTGGCTGGGGACCCGTCTATCATTATCATTAAAGCCACGAGTCAGGATTAGGCAACCAGCAGAAGTTCTTCCCAGGGTGCGATAGTGGGCTCCCCAAGCACTGAGGGCGCGACACTATCGCGACCCAAAAGTGCGCGGCAATGGCGCTAAGGCCTTGCCCGCCGCGCTGCCCGCGCTGCCAGCGTAATCCACCACGGCATACGTGGTCTCTGCGTCCTCTCGCGTACGACGTACTATCTCGCGTTCTCCCTCTCCTCGCAGCGCTGTGTCTCTCCGTCGTACTACGGCCGGCCTCCTAAGGGAAATTTAGTGTTTTCTATGGTGTTTTTGCTTTTTCTCCTCACTTATGTTCCTCAAACCCCTTGTCGGGTCTGTTGTCCGACGGCGGGGCATCTGATGACGCAGCTGCTGTTGACAAAAGAGAACATGTCAGAGCCTGTCATATATACTGAAGCTGTCCACTTAGCAAACTGTTGTAGATGGCCGGTTATTCTTCATAGGACAGTTACCATAGACTTGGCCAGTGATAAACTGTTATTGTGTTTACACTAGATTTGTTATTGAGTGATAGGTCGGCTATGGCCTATAAAAGCCTCAGTAGTTGGTGTGTCTCTAATTGTTCGTCCGTGCTCAATAAAGCACTTGGTGCGGAGCTGTTGCACAAACTAAGACATTCAAGAACTGTGACGTATTCTGAGAGGAACTGACCTATTTCCTGCCTACCTCTTTTTTTCCACATCCAGAAAAAGTGGCGCACCACAAGATATCGGGCTTCCCCTAGGACTAAGCCTCGGGGGTGGGCAGGAGCTACGAAAAAGATGAAAATCACTCACTCTGGAGTCTCCCCTTCCTCCGCCAAGGCTTAGTCCCTTTTCTAACAGAAAACAATCGTTTGACGCGGTTTTACTTACGTGCGTTATCGTCGCATGCTCGCATCTCTTGTAACGACTTTGTTTGTTTTGTTGTTTTGTTGTTTCTTCGAAGCTTTAGATGAATGTTGGTTCTTAACATGTTCTGGTTTGTTTGCTGTTAGCATTGCTCTTTTTAACACGTTTGTTTCGTTAGCGCGTTGCAGCAGCAGATGCCCCACCGTCGGACAACAGAACGCCCCCCCCCCCTGTCTAATGTTTGAACAAAATAACGCATCAGTTCAATCCCGACTCGTGCCTTCAAGGATGATGAGTTTCAAGAAGAAAGGAAAATCCATGAGAAACGCCCAGAACCCGAGAAATGAACCCCTTCGTTGTTACACCTTGTCGATTCTCTGCTCTCGCCTGAGCTGCCCTTCCTACGGCTAGTGGAATTCAGACGCACTTCCTGGAAGTCTTCTACCCATCCGTGAGCCCTCTATGGCTGGATTGCCCGCGTATTCCGCCTCGGCATTGCTGCAGAAGGCTAGAGTCTAAAAACGAACAGTTTGGTCGCGTGCGGGCGTGTGGTGCGCACTTGAGGCACGTAACCACATGCGCAAAAACCCAACCACCACAACTTCGATCTAGAAGGCGCTGATGAAGCGGATTCGCTATTTCTAAGAGAACCGACTCTGCTCTTTATTCGAGATGCGGCAATGCATGTTGGGAAAGAGTTTAAGTCTCGCATTGTAAACGATGTCTTTATTCAAGAACAACCTCATGCAGTCGATTCACACGCACATTTCAGCACATTGATCTGCTAGGAAATCGACATTCCGGCTGGCATTCACGGCCAGTACTTGTTGGACAATGTCAGCCGGGAAGATCGACGACAACACGGTTTCTATTTGAGAATCGATAACAGCCTTCTTAATGTCGACGTCTTCATCATGAGGTGTGGGATTGTAGCTAATTTCTTCTTCTGAAAATGCATTATTTGTTGGCCGTTGTAGGCCAACGCAGAAACCTTCCGTCACATTAATAATATCATTCCGTGACCGTAGCCCTTGTAACGTCCCATTCGGTCCACCTTGTGAATCGCCATGGAATTTCGGTTCATTTGATGGGGGATCCTCGAAGAACGAGATCAGTTCTGTCATGGAACGTTGATGTTCTTGAACGGGATCCCTCCGCGAAAGGCGATCTCTTGTCGTTATCAGCGTATCGATATGGGCTACAATCTCCTGAAGAACATCCTCCTGGCTGTAAGCGTTCTTCAGCTGTCCATTTTCATCATCCATTAAAGATTTTTGATTACTGCTGCCATCCGAGCGATAACTCTCCCAACTATTCTGGCTGCTGGTAGTAGGTAGTACATCGAATGGATCTAACGGCGGTTCAGTGGGCTCTGCGGGATAGCTTTGGCTCGGAAACGGTGTGAAACTATCGGAGAAGTCTATTAGCGAAAAATCGGCGACGGCTTCGGCCTGGTCTATCGTCGGAGGAACGGTATCTATCCACAGGTCGTCCATAATTGCGCCAGTTGTCCTCGAGTCTGGAATGAATTGATCAAACACAATATCAATCACTTCTTCTACTTATGGTTCTGCAGAATTCTTACCGAAATCAGCTGGATTGAGCGTGTTTGGGCCACCAAAGATGTCCTCGATTCCTTCACAGAATCCACCGAATGGCTCCTATAATAACCACATTGCCATGGAGCATGCCTATATCGAGCGGAAGGTAAGTTATACTTGGTCTTCATCTTTTCATGCTCTCACTATTTCCTTTCATCCACGCCTCCTGGTTTTCCGCGATTTACGTTCTTACTTGGGAATTGTTGAGAGAAATATTTTGCAACTATTCCTTCCCTTGCCCATTTTGGAACAGCGCTGAAGCTTGATGGGTCTCCACTTGTAGGAACTCGACCTGGCCCATGCATGCAGTGATAGATGTTTATCGATTGGTCAATCCACGCGTCGCACAAGTAGGGTAACCACGCCTACTTCAGTGGGATGTGTCACATGTGCGTTAATGAAGGATTGGTTTCTCTGGTGAAGAGGATAATGAACCTTAATCCAGAGCCAGGGTAATTTAACAATTGCACCGCTCTCTTCATGGTTGCGCGCAGCAAATGAATTTGGGTGCCCTGACCAGGCAAAGCATACCGCCGGGTTCGATGAAGGAAAATTGGACCTTTCTGTCGTTAGGGGGAGGGAACATTCAAGTGAGTGAACCGCTCACAGTACCTGGGCCCAATAACATGAAATCGTATGTGTCGAGGTGGAGATGACCGTACCATTTGATAACCAGGCAAGTTTTCAAGGGCCAGTGGACGAATAGCATTCCGTTCACACAGCTCTGCCATCATGTCATCTATAGCACTGATCCGCTCCTCCTTTCGCTTTTCGCTCCATGATTCTCGGCGAAGTAGCACCTAAATAAGGCTCCATGAACTGCTTTACTGTTTCGAACTTCACAATGCAGAGCTGCAGACTTTTGAAAACTCCGGGTCATCAGGACTGGCAAATATCTTCTGTGCGATTACCGATGCTCGTATTGTCATGTCCTCATCTGAAAATGGCACTTGATAGGACAGGTCCTGGAGAACGTGCTGCAGAAATTCGCACATATGAACAGTTCTGGAAGGGCTTTATAGAAGACATCGATCCCGTGATGTACAACATCGTGTGGCAGAAATCGAAACTTGATATCCAGCGTTCGGTTGAGGATAACGGGATGAAATTCACTGAAAAAAGATTGTATTGAATAGAGCTGTGGATTCGCGGTAATCAGCTGATCCAAAACAACACCTGTAGGTTGGCTGCGCAAGGATGTCTTTGAACTTATCACCACTCAAAACACAACCACCGTGACGAGCTGCCAGTGTAGTGACGTATAGGTCGTCATAATTGATGAAAGCTCTGAAAACGTTGTCTATTCATTGTTACTTGTTGATTCTCGAAGCGACCAGACTAGCTTCTCTATCACTCCCCATACTTCTGTGTGTGTCCCCCTCCCCTCCCCTCCCCCCACCGGTCACAGGTCTCCTGACAACCGTGACATTTGGCGGTTTTGTAGTGATGTCTGGGAGCTCTCACAAGTGCACACTATCACAGCATCTCCTCTTTCTTTATCTTCTTCAAAAGGCTTAGTCCCAATAAGACACAAAGTGTGTGCTTTTCCAGCTACGCTCTCACCCTTGGTTGACAGAAGCCTTGTAACCCCTCTCCCTCTCCCCCCACGACAATGCGTGGGACATGTGCACAAAACTCGTCCACGCGTCGCGCGCGGAAAGCCGCGCGGCGATATCGAATGTGTGCGCGCCACGCATATCAAATGTTATCTGAACTCACTTTCGCTCTCCTCGTCCAGTTCTAGCGGGAGTGAACGTGACAAGGCCGAGCTCCTCCAATTTCTGAATGATCACTAGGCTCTTGCAAATAGACAGCTAGAGCAGATTCTTGAATTCGGAAAGCCTTACCGCTAACAGATGTACGTGAACGGCGTTGAAATTGTGTGAGTTATTGTAGACGACCGGAAGGAATGCTACCACATCGAAATCTCGTACAAGCAACCATCGAATCACCGCCATTAGTCCAGCACAATTCACAGCTCTATAATCACATGAACGGTCATAGCCTTGTGGTGAAGGGGGGATGGACAATAAAGGAATCTTCCGCGGAAAAAGCTCCGCCTCCATTACCACAGAAAAACGATACCCCTTAGGCCCCTAGCCTCATGAGCATAGCAAAAAGAACGGAACATAAGCGTTAGTTTCGATAATACTAATCCTACACACAAGACAAAATGATCACTCTTTCCGTGGAAGATTCCTTTAAGGTATCGTTTTCTGTGGTAATGAGGGCGGAGCTTTTTCCGTGGAGGATCCCTTTAAGAATGGGACATTTGAAAGCCCTCAGTAGGTGACACCAGCGCTAAGCGCAGGAGAGGAGAAACGCCGTAAACGAAAATTGCTTACATGCTTTCCCAGGATCTTTTTCTCTTCCTGCGGTTTAGTCCCAGGTACTGTGATGGCACACTCACTCGAACGTCTCCCCAACGACATAAGCCCTTTTTTGATAAACCGATGCACTTGGTAGGATCGGTAGTCAGAGCAAGGGCGGAGTCCTACTGCTGCGCATAACTTATCACTCGCCGCGAGATCTTGTCGCGTGAGAGACGTCGCGCATACCGCGCGACAAAACCCGCGAAGTTCTCGGACGACTGAATGCCAGCGGTTCCTTCATAGGTGAGCGGTGCACAGCGGTCGTGGAGTATAATTAAGCCTGACCATGATTTTACCCTTTGATTTTCCTGTCTATGATCCATCTAGCGCCTACCGTGACCGATTAGGAGCTTCCATTCACGTGATGTGGTCTGTCAGTCTTCAACCCAACGCTTAGCTACGGAGGTGAAGAATGGTTCACTAGTCCTTCTCACCTGCCTCACCGCACCCCCTTGATTGTACGTCACCGTGGTTGGGGTCTAATCGCCTCTTGCCACAAGTTTGCGCTCATAGCGGAATGTTCGCGAAGCGCGCGACCCTAGTCAATCGATGGCGATGTCTTGAAACACACTCTATCAACATGAGAGCGCGTAATCAGACCATTTCAAATACTAGTGCACTCCTGAAACGGTCGGGCGTGTGGTAGCAACTGGAGATGGGGTTGCTTGGAGGTCTCACATGAACAAACAACATGGAGAGATGGATCCTTCTGGAATCTGCACGTTGCTGCAAGACCCATCTCACTTGGTTCCGGCCCTACCACAACCCTATGACTTTGTTTCACATCATATGTAGATTGGTCTCCTACGCGCCCATGCCTAATAATGAATCTTATTTCCATCTTTTAGCCATCTAATTCTGTCATGAGTCTGCGACCGTTACTAAGGCTTGAAAACTCAGAGTACTACACCGGTGGTATTCCAGTTCGCTCGGGAACCTACAGAGCAGCAAAGAGACCTGCGACTTACTCTCTGCCCATGCCACAAGCACTTCTTCCAATGTTGCAGCCATCTATCACCATGAGTCTCGGCAGCCAGTCTGGACCAGGTTTAATAAAACACGCCTCTTCGCACATCACTTCTGCAAAGCTTGTTCATCAGCAGGAACGAAGACGATCGACAGCCTCTCCTCCGTAGCATCGACTCACATTCCTTGCCAAAGCATGAGTGAGAGCAGCAAATACGAAAAATGAGACACACCGGGAGAGTCGAAGCTTTTATAGTTGACTTATCAATGCAGAGACCCCGAGATAAGGACACCATTTTTACTTGCTTAGAATGCATTTTCGGTTGCAATAGCATAACACTTCCATTTACAATGTACGACATCAAGATATAACTTTCCCTGAGAAGCCAGGATGTCGCGTCAACAACGCGGACAAAGTGTCATTTTCGTTTGTCACCTGTATCACCTGTCGTCCCGTTGATCATCGAATTGCTCGAGCGGGCGCCAGCAACGTCTCCATTCGTCCCTGTCGCGTGCAAGAGTTGTCCAGTGGACCCTCCTCGCTCGAGGGACACGAAGTCCTTCATTCCTTTCGTTCAGAGCTTTCGTGAAGAAGTCTGACCATCGGGCCGGCGGTCGTCCAGGTGTTCGTTTGACGTCCCGAGGGATCCAGTCGGTAACCGCTCTGGTCCAACGGTCATCGCAAAATCGCATGACGTGTCCGGCCCACCTTATCTTCGATTCCTTGGCGAAAACGGCAGCGTCCCTGATCTTCGATTTGGCGTAGTTCGGACTCCCCTCTGCACTTGCGTGTATAGGGTTACTCCTAGCATCGTCCTCTCGACAGCGCGTTGGATAACGCTGACCGCATGCTCGTCCTGCCTGCGCAGAGTCCAAGTCTCTGAGGCGTAGGTTAGGGCAGGAAGGACAGCGGAATCGAAGAGGCGGAATTTTCGTGTGTCACCAAGTTTAACCATCCCTCCTCAGCAACAAAGCTTCCGGACTCATTTGGAAAAAAGCCAATGAAAAGGGGCATGAAAGGTAGGCGACACCGTCATCAGATAATAAAAGCTGGTCAATGGCGTTAGTTAGCGCCACAACCTCAAAACCCTCTGATGTAACCAGTCGGTGACACTGGCATTTTAGGTAGTGCTTTTCTATTCACCATAGTTCACAGTGAAAGGCGGGCTGTGGGCGCCGATATCGTTGGGGAAGGAGACATTTAAGTTAGTGAGCCAATTGCTGTGCTTGGGACTAAGCCTTAGACAGGGGAAGGACTTCTGGGGGAGGATGTGAGCAATATGTGTTTTTTCCTGGCGTTTCTCCTCTTTCCTGGGCTTGGCTTTCCTCCTAGCGTCACCTTGCATCGGCTTTGTTGTGATGCCCACTCCAAGGACATGAGCGCCTGACAGTGAAAAGAAGTGTAAGGAAATCGTTTAAAAAAATCAAAGGTACACCTCAGGACGAGTTCAGGTGGTCAATTCCTTCGGTGGGTAGTATTGGGCTGTCCACAAATCCCGTCCCGATTCGAAAGCATGCATGAAGGGAAATATGGCATCGCCAGGACCGCTTCGGCCGCTTCTGTATTCCTCATTTGCAAAATGCGGACGTCTGCTCCCTCACTTCCGCTATGCTCTGTCACCTATCCTCTCCTCTCCGTACTCATCTCATTGCATCACCGCAAAATGACCAAACCCTTTGACGCTTTTGACAAATTCTATTCCATTTTTCTTTACTTCGCCCTAACTCTTTTATTCTCGTGTGTAGGATGACGCTACTTTTTAACCAGGACCTTTGAGTTCGAGGCAGTTTCAAGTCTGATGCTTCCATTTATGTCAGTAGTTGACTTTCATGTGTGAGCATTAGCTTCGTTATTAGGTGATGGCGAGATCGGCAATTTTTTCAATGCATTTAACCCTTTGACTATCAGAGTTATACAGATCTCACATTTTCTGGAACAAGGGACCGCGAAGGGACGAAGCTTACAAAGAGGCCCTAGACCTAGTTATGTATACTCTGCATGTTAGAGGTTTGCCCATAAAGCAATCTAATCTATAACGCCATCCTTACCACGGGGTTCTCTTGCTCTTGTTTCCGTCCACTACTGCTACCTTGGAGCGGTGTTATCTTCAAATCGTTCTTCCCCCACGCTCAAACCATTCAATTTCAGAATACGGGAGGATGTGTGGGGTCGCTCACATTGTCATTGTCGTACCAGCCGTCTCCTTCTGTTCGCCAAGTTGCAGGGGCAGGCGCCGAATAACATCTCCATACTCCTTTTAGCGTGCTAGAGTGTTCCACTAAATCTTCCTTGCTCAAGCGCACCAATTCTTGAGCCCTCTAGTCTTTCATTTCAGAGCTTTCATGGGGAACTCTAACTGTTCAATCAGCACTCGTAGTGGAGTTCGTATGATCCAATCAAGGAGAATCTGTACATCATGGGAGATCCTCAATAGTCAGATCGACACAAGCAATGATCAATATGAGGATACGTAAGGACGATTTGCTTATGGCACGATAAACGAAGACGATCTCGTATTTTTACGCCAAATCCCTAGATCCGATCATTACTGTCCTTTTTTCCAAAGACGGAATCCCACCTGGTAACATACTACAGTGGAGATTTCAAAGCACAGATCGACTATATTCTGGCAAGAAAGAGCCACCGAAGTGATGTCCTAGATTGCAAAGTGATCTCCATCGATAATTGTCGTTGCCAACACCGTCCCGTGGTCGCCACTATAAAGATGCCTAAGAACTCGATCACCTTCACAAAACTGAGAATTAACCGAGGCTTCTAAGATGGAACAAAATTTCAAGACCTGCTGACAGAAACTACCCACCGGCGAAGATCTGCCAAGCCTACCCGTGCTGGAAACAGCACACTCGACAAATCAGAGATATTGCGCGGACAATCGGCTACAAAAGAGAATTCAAGAGTGCACCGGATCGACCAGCATGGTTTTGGAACAATGACGTAGCAACAGCGATTCAGTCCAAGAAGAATGCGTACAAAGTCTGGCATCTTAACCCTACGACCGAGACCAGGGAAAGGTACTGTGTAGCTAAACGAGAAACCAAGAAAACCATCGCAAAACCTATCAAGACAAGACGGATACAATGATGCTGAACACTAAGGAAGATGAAAAACACATCTACTGCCTTGCCAAAGGACGCTCAAGAGCAACACAGGACTTCGTAAATACAACAACTTCATCAAGGACAAAAATGGAGTACTCTTGCACGAATTCAGCAAAATCAAACAACGTTGGCAAGAACACTTCCAAGAAATCTGCAACGTCGAGTTCCCACATCCACCACTCCCGAAAGAGCCGCAAACTCATGGACCTATACCGTGCATCACCGAGCAAGAAGTCGATGAAGCTATGAAGAAGATGAAAAATGGGAAAGCCACCGGTCCTGATGACATTCCAGTAGAAGTCTGGAACCAACTTGGAGGGTGCCGTTACCTGACTCAGCTCTTCAACAAGTGCATTGAGAAGGGTGCGATTCCGACAGGCTGGTCAAAAAGTGTCATCGCCATCCAACTAGTCCAATTCGTCTGATGTGCCATACCCTGAACATTTTCGAACTGGTTTGGGACGCCAGGCTTACAAGGGAGATCGTTCAGAGCAAGGTGCGCTTTTCAAAACGGTTTTTCGCATGTTATAGGAACTCATGCGTGGACTACAGAACCAAGGTCCATTTTCGCTGAACGGCCCCGAGAAGGCCAAAAAGTGGTGAGGAAATGGTCCAAGGATCAATCCCCCGTGATGACAAAATTTTTGCATTGTGGTTGGAGCTTCCAAATTTTCTCAAAATGGCACCAGTGCAAAAATTAGGTATCATATCCATTATCAAAACCACCAGTGATCATTTAACTCAGATTTTAACTGGATTATGGCGGAAAAAAGTTGTAACACGCCAAATGGTGCCGAAGTGGCATAAATTGGAGTCGTCTGGAAAAATAAATGTCATATTCGTGATCAGAGCATTAGATATTCCTTAAAGTAGAAGTTTTAGAAAAAATTGAGATTTTGAGCCAGTTCCGAAAAATTGGCCATCGACAGGTCGGTCAGTAGCCCATGGGGTACTTCCAGCCAGCGATTGTAAAATGAGTTTCTCCGTGATACTCATGCAATCCTACTATATATAATCGGCTAAGCGGTTGTGTGTGTGTCTGACCGGAAATTCATAACTTCACCCCCTTTGGACCCAGAGCGCTCAAACTTCTAGGATATATAGGGGGCCGGAGGTGAACACTGATGACGGGTGGCGGGAAGTGATAACTACTGATAGGAGCTGATAACGGACGTCGAAATGTTGATGTCACCAATTTCGTTACACCGTTCGCGTTGACAGTGGAGAGTTTGCACTCATGTATGATATGTGGGGTGAGGCGGGGACCAAGAAGTTGAGTGAACGAATGTGGTAGCAACTGATAAGAACTGATAAGGGGCGTCAAAGTGTGGATACCACCAGTTTCGTTGCGGCCCTTGCGGTTACATTGGAACCTTGGCTCTCACATGTGGTATAGGGGATGGGACGGGAACACGGATAGCGGATGATCAGAAGTGATAACAAGCGATAACGGATGCGATAACGGATGATAAGGAAGTTAGGATTTTGAGTACTGCTAATTTCGTTGCAGCCTTCGTGGTGACAGTAAATATTAGCTCCTACACGTTGCCTGGAGGTTGGGACCGGGACACCGATTGCGAACAGTATGAACTGATAACAAATGACAAGGAATGATAAGAGCGTTTGAATGCAGGTCTCTCCAACTTCGTTGCAATTATCACTGGCAAGCGATCAAGGTGGCGAGGGTTGAATGTAGGTGACAGAAAGTGGTATGAGCGGCAACTGTACTGATAAAAGTAGCGACAGTTGAGCGTGCACTCAGTTGAACTAAACCAGGTCCCTAGCACGTGAATATGTTCCATTCCTACCTTTCATCTAAAGAAGCAAAGAAAGTTGAGCTGCTCAACTATCTGGACTTGGACCAATAGCGAATTTCCATCATATTTCCAATTTCCATCATGGTTAGATGCTGATTGATTGGTTATATTTCACTTACACACCGATTCTTCAATTGTGGAAATTCTATAAACCGCTAAATCATCCCGAGCTCGATATCAATGCTAAATGTTTACGAAGTCATGATAAGTACCATTTCATTCCGCATGCTACTGCGCGCATTACGCGACAATCTTCAGCAAAATTGGACAGCCTTTGAAATTCATGTGACACATCTTCCAAACATCTTACTGTTAGTTTCTCAGCCACGTGACCTAATATTCACTAAAGCCTGCCATGTGATGCGCGCGGTTGCGTGCGGAGCTAAACTGGTAATAAAAAATTTCGCTACAGAATAGATAGTGGCAGGCAGCCGAGCTGGTGATGGGAAAGAGCACCCGCATAAGTTGAAATCGACAGATTCTTCTCTCCTTCAAGAGCAAATGTTGGGTCCTCGGCTCTTCCACTCGTAGGGCCTCCTCTCCATAGCTGGAGCGATTTCAGGAATAGGGACGCTGTGGGATGTTCCCCTATGGAACCGAGCTTTAGATTCCGTTACTCATAAGGTGACCGCTTGATTTCCGAGCAGCGCTCGTCTTCAAGTCGCCCGCCGGCGTGCATGACGACCTGTGGCCCATGGTCACCTCCTTTTTCGAAGTTAGGTCAAAATTTCGATTTTCGTCGAAATTTTGCCTATAGGGGTAAATCGGGGTGCTGATCACGGATATGGCGTTCGTTTTTGGCGTCGGCGCCATTTGGCGCTACAGATTTATTCTGCCAGTTTTTGATAGTAAACCCATTTGCAGGGGCTGCTCATGGTCCTGATTGTGAATATAGGGTTAAATTTGACGCTGGAGCAATTTGGCGCTCATTTGGAAGTGACAGTCGAAAATGCAAAAGCCTTGCTATGGAACGGTGTCGAACCCATCAAGACCGGAAACAGTGATGGTTTTTGCGGTGATCATACCGAAAATCGATACTTCCTTTGACCCTCTGACCACTGTTTCACAAGGCATGAAATAGAACAGTAAAATTTAGACAGCAAAGCTTTTTCTTACTTAAATGATGTCAACCAGAAAAAGCCTAGAAGAAATTGTCACATAATTGAACGTTCTACAGTATCCTGCACACGATGAAATTTGCGTGAAGTTCTCGCCGGGTGAGCTGCTCAAAGATCATTGCGTTTAAGAAGTGGCAACTTAGAATTAGCCACTCTACTAGTTTATGCTGAACGAAGTATGATAAAGTCGAGCACCCAATGGATTCGAGAAGTTCTCTATTAATGCCTGGAACGCAGAGGCTGTCTGCCAACACGTCGCAGTCAGCTCATTCTCTGGAAGACTTCGTTCTTTTTTCAAAGCGTATAACGGGTACTTGTCAGGGTGATGTGTTTTTCGTTTATTAATCTCCAGTAAATATACTTCGTTTCTCACTTGAATTTTTTCATTTGTGCAGATCCTATGACCACTTCATCTTGTTACCGTAATTTGAAGCCGGACAGTATAGTATAGTAGGATTGTAATCGCTATGAAATAGACCTTCGAATTGCTCTCACGATTTTTCGGAGTCCAATCGTTAGATGGACGGTCTGATGTGAACAACGACGATCCGAAAAATCTTAAACGCTTGCCTGCTATCGCGTTTCTCATTTGCTTTGATTGTTTACCTTGTCCACAAATATCACACCGCAATAGTGAACATAAATTCCACTTGCTTTAATACTCATTACTGTAGTAACATAAACACTCCGTGACAGAGGAGCGAGAAGGTCTTTTTTCACAAGATCATTATGCTGGTATCAAAAACTCCATCACTGTGGCCAGGTAGCTCAATCACATTTCCTTCGAGAACTTATTCAGTCGACATTGGTTTGGGTTTCTGCAGTATTTTGCGATAGTTGAGGTTTTGCCAAATATTGCCAATAAGTCGATATTGTTAATCCAGTCCTTGTAACAAAAGTTTATGCACTTCGATGAAGGCCTTCTTGATTTTTGTATAACCTTTATTGTGTGAGAACAAAAGTTCATTTTTATGAATTTATTTTTTCATTTCAGCTCACTCTGTCAAAAGTAGTGAGCACAGCAGTGAGATAGATAGGTTAGTCGTCCAATGTCACTCCCCTTTTCTTTTCAGTGTTAAGCAATTGCCGCAATTGGCGAGCAACTTCTTCATCATATTCTTGCAATTCCTCATCGGTGAGATCATACCATGAATCAATCCAGCAGAAAGCATGCCTGAAAAAAGACTATGTAATAATAATCCTTATCAATGTTGCAGTGGGCAGTGACAAACCTGTGGAAGTTGGAAAATATTTTCAAGTATTGCTTCAATATCGTCTTCTCCACAAGGCTGCCTAGACCCATCAATTTGAACTGCACCGATACTACCTTGTAGCAACACATTATCTGAAATTACCGAATCAGCATCCTACTATATAAATATCCTTCTATTGTATCTAAAGACCAAAATTGGTGTGTCGCTTTTGCTGTATGTGTGTCGGTAGGTTTATGTGTATATAGAATAGCGCTCAAAGCTTCGGTGGAATACTTCTCGACCGTAACTTCTTTCTCTTAAATTAAATCGGTTCAGAATATGACACGATTCAAGAGCAACCTTTTTTATACTGAATTTGTATAACACTATTGAAGGAAGAGATAAAAAAACCACTTCTGTGAAACACTCGAGTATGACCAAATTTCAAGTAAATTTCAAGTTACTGTAAAATGCTTAAATTTGACAAAACAACCAACCGCACGATAAGAAAGAACAAGCAGGTTCAATACTTTATTGCTAGCCTTCTGGAGCCACTAAGCTCCTGATAGGGCCACAGTATGAAATCAGGTAAAATCAATCAGGAACCCGGAATAAAACTGGTGTAAGAGCGCATCATAATGATGATGAGCTGCGAATGAACTAAAAGTGGAAAAGAAAGCAAGAGAAGCCATCGGAAACGCTAAAATTAAGGCCTTAACCTTCAGTAAGGTCGGATGTGGTACGATGGCGAGACAAAACGATCAGAGAAGACAAAACACGCGAGAGAGCACGCCGTTCGAGAGCGCGCTGATCTCCACATCAATGGCGGGTGGGTGGGAAGCGTTGCAATAAGGGCCGATGGTTGCAGCACCTTAACGATTAGCGCCCTAACCGCGCATTTTGTGCGACGAGTGTGGTACGCTTTCTGTACGGGAGGACACTACAATTCTCTCGCAGTATCCAGTATAGTTGGACCAATCCCGTGGATTGCTTTCAATGAAATAATTTTCTACTGGAGCAAGTTTCTCATTTTTCTTCATGTTTGACGAGTTTCTTGCCCATATTCCTGTCCCTTTTTCTGCCAAAGGTTTCTCTACTCTTCTCACAGCATTTCGACGGGACATGCGACAGAATTTGTACCCAGTTATAAGCCCACCGTGATTCCAAAGCCACTCCTTCACAGTAGAGGTGTGTCGATTTTGCTCGCCCTATTGCTAGAAGGCGAAGTCAATAGCGTCGGAGACTGAATACACAACATACACAGGAACATAGCTGTAAATGTATGCCTTGACACCAGTCACCAGTTCGTAAATCCTGTGAGCTAGTTCAGCATCTTTTATGGACTACTATTTTGAGCTTCCGCCTTGTTTCACGAATGGAGCTGATAGTTTGGATCAGAACGCTTCCCGTCAGGACCCTACTCGTTATCATTGCCTTTGCCGACAAACATCCTAAATTCACTATCCTCGCTCCAGATGATGTTAGAGCCCTGTGGAAATCTCCAGTTCAGGTGTGCTTGAGCCCGCTCCATTTCCTACCACTTCACAATCGTACAAGTTCACAGGATTCGCGAACTGGTGAAGGCATACCTATACAGAAAGGTTTTGGAAAGTGATGTGAATTCAAACGTAAGGCAACTATATGGTACTGACTTCGCCTTCTAGCATTGGAGCACACCTCTACTGTGAAGAGTAACTTCAACAATATGGTGCGCGTATATAGGGCCAACGAGTTTAGTCCCATCCAAGCGTCATCGAAACACTGTGAAAAAGGGTAGGAAAGCTCTGAAAAGAGAAAGAAATACGGACCAGAAATTCGTAAAGTTGAAGGAAAATGGAGGAACTTGTCTCATTAAACAGTAATGCATTAACTGATTCCATACTGTGGCCTTTTCGAGAGTTTCGCGACACCAGAAGATGATTAGCAAAGTATCGTTTGTAAGCTCTGTACAACAACTTGAAATTTACATAGAATGCGGTTATACTCAAAAGCTTCTAGAGAAGTGATTTTTCATTCTTATCTCTTTTTTCGATTCAACATTGGTACTAGTTCAGTGAAAAGAGCTCGCTTTTAATACAAATCAAAGTTTGAACTGACTTAATTCAGCAGAAAAACGCTATAGTGGAAAAAGGAAGGAGCAGATGCAATACTGCAGTGCATCGGTAGATGTTTTGCCTGTGACTTCTACGCACGATTCCGTGTTAAGAAGCTAGTATGGACTACAATTAGGGGTTGAAATAGCATAAGATCCACCTCCTCGTCAGATCGTTGAGCTAGAGCCAAGAGGTAACCTCTAAAGAAAACATCGAAAATCGTGAGGGCTGTTCTATGTGGTTTAGTGATACCTTATATTTCATACATTCCACGTTTTTTGAGGTACGGTTCATTCTTCCTTTTCCCTACCCCATCCTCTATCATAACCATTATTTTAGTATGGCGGGGTCATCCCTTTGAAGGTGTGAAGTCCAAATAACACTTGCGCTGAACTCATAGTCAGCTATGGGAGCTTTAGCAAAAGAACTTGCTTTCTTTTGTCCGGATTCGTTCAGTTCGCTCAAGAAGAGATAAATAATGGCCATTGAACATATCGTCACTTGGTCCGATGCTACCTCTCGCTCCCGAAAAAGCAAAAGTGTTCATCATCGGGACTGATAGTATTGTCCATCTCTACAAAATAGGTTCTGTAGCATTAGAGAAAGTGACTGAACTAAGGATCTCGAGTTTGTCCTATCGAATAAACTCGCTTTTGACAAGCACTATAAGACGTTGGCGTCTAGAGCAAACAACTGGATTTACAATCTTCTCAAAACATAACGATCGAAGAGCCCCACGATTTTACTGAAGGCGTACAAAGCCTACGTGAGACCAATTGTGAATCCGGTTATTCCGTTTACTTTCCAACGAAGAAAAAGACGTAGATCTTTAAGAAAGTGTCCAAAAAATTTCACTCGCAAGCTTGCCCTTCGTTGCCCCGCGCTGAGGAGTTTTTGCCTAGTGGACCTAAACACGCCGGCGTTATGCTTGTCTTCGTTGGTGCATGGAATACAAGTCGAGTCTCGTTATGGCTTCCAAAATTCTGACAAGGAAGGTTGCGGTTGACCCTGCAGACTTTTTCACACTAGGTAAAATCAAGGATCTAGAGGGAGCACAATCAAACAAGGTCTCCGTTAGTAAGAACACATGGTCAGAGCTAAATCTTTTGCTATCAGAGTGCTACCTTTGCTTGAACAAAATTTTTGATGAGGATATCCTGCGCTCGTCTCTC